ACCGCCTCTGCCAGCCGCCCGTGGACGGAGACCTCTGACTGCTGATGCGCCCGGGCCTAGCTGCGTGCCCCGGAGCTGGGCCTGGCAAGGCTGCCACGGTGCCTGCCAGCTTCTCGGAGCTGTCCTGAGGCTTCTGCTGCCACCACTGCGCCGAGCACTGCCCGGCTCCCTGCCCTGCCTCCCGCGAGGACCAGCCTGGGCCAGCGCCGCCTCCGTCCTCTGCCAGAAGCCCGAGAAGTGCCGTCGGTGCAGCTGAGGCCTGGGCCCCTGCGCCCGAGTCCCCAGACCCAGGGACGGGCACGGCGCCGCGGCCCTGGCTCCCACGGGGTGGCTCAACGTGCACTTTGGAAACCCTCGGTTTCCTCCAGGCCCACATTCCAGGCGCCCGCGCGGGTCTCCTCCCTGAGCGCCCCTCACCGTGCACTAACCAGGCCCGTGGACCCTGCGTGCAGAGTGCCCCCAGGCCATGCCAGCTTCCCACGCCCCACTGGACCGTGAGCACCAGGTTTGCTCCGACTCCATTTATGTGGCGTGAATCCTCTGTGGTTGATCTGACTTGTCTTCGGTGGTATTGTTGCGATTTCCCCTAAGGTTGTAAGATGACATATCTGACATTTGGCGTTCCAAAGGAAGGTACATCATCTAAGGGACCAACGTAGGGCAGAACTGGCTTTCCCCAGTCCTGCTAAACCAGGAGAGAAAGGACGAAGTCATTGACTGTTTTTAAATTGAATTTCCTTGTTTCTAATATTGGGGTTTGAGGCATCACCCCCACGGCCCCATCTGCTCTCTGCCATGAGTCTAGGCCAGGCCAGGGCTGGGCCTGGGGCGGTGCTGGGCCGCCTGCCTAGGAAGCTGGCGGGCCGAGGTTGGGGGCACACCGGGGAAGCCTGGTGGTGACTTCTGTAATTTATTGACCCGATGCTAGCATCTCAGAGCTCAGCTGCCCCGGGCACCGCCCCAGCTACTGTACACCTTCAGGGAACCCTCAGAGCGAGCAGCAGGGGAGGGCACGCCCGGTCGCCCCGGCTGGCGGCAGAGGTCGGGCTGGCCTTGTGCTGCTCGAGGCCTGTGGGCATCCCGACCCCACAGCTCCCGGGCTGCCCGCCCTGCCTGGCCTCATGTGCGGGACTGAGGGTGGCCTTGGGGCTGTCTTGTCACAGACACAAACCCAAGGCCCCGCCTTAGCCCTGTGGGGGGAGCCAGGGCACGCGCACTGGTTGACTTTGAAATGTACAGATTCTTGTTCAATTCATGATAGATTTTTTATTATTATTAAAAGTTGGTTTATGATACAAAGGAGACAGCCATCTGCCTGGTCTGTGGTGGCTGGCACTGGGTGGCACTGGGTGGTGCAAACTCATGCCTTTTTTTTTTCTAATTTATTTGAAAGGCAGAGTGATGAGGGAGAGAGGTCTTCCATCTGCTGGTTCACTCCTCAGATGGACATTACAGCCAGGGCTGAAGCCAGGAGCCCAGAACTCCATCCGGGTCTCCTGTGCGGGAAGCAGGTGCCCGGGCACTTGGGCCATCATCTGCTGCCTTCCCGGGTGCATTGGCAGGGAGCTGGATCGCGTCTGATCTCTGCCACCCTGGTCCCTGGACTTGCACCCTAGCCAGGGGTGTTACCACACGGCGCCTGCCTGGGAGCCTGGGAGTGGGGATCCCTGAGGTCATGGGCGTGGCTGTGACTTGGGGGTCCCAGAAAAACAGCTTTTTTTTGTTTTGTTTTTAAAGATTTTTTTTAATTTATGGAAAGGCAGAGTTATAGAGAGGGAGAGAGAGAAAGGTCTTCCATCCTTGTTCACTCCCCAAGTGACCGCAATGAACTGGGCCAATCCAAAGCCAGGTGCAGGGACCCAGGCACTTGGGCCACCTTGCACTGCTTTCCCAGGCCGTAGCAGAGAGCTGGATCAGAAGTGGAGCAGCGGGGACTCGAACCAGTGCCCATGTGGGATGCTGGCGCTGCAGGCGGCGCTTAGCCCACTGTGCCACGGCGTTGCCCTGAGGACGTGGGCTTTGTCTTGTGCTCTGACTTCATTGTGGATTCTGAGCTCTGGTTTCCCCGAGATAGTGGACACAGAACCGTTCCTCCAGGAGCCCACCCTGTCCCGTGTGACTGGTGCCTGCCTGGAGTTCCAAGGGGTCTCACGTGTGCCGAGGGGTCAGGGACACCACGGGGTCGTCCTCAGCCCCAGCCTGTGGGGACAGGATTGGGGTTCAGAACGCTCAGGGTGGGGTCAGGCCTGGCTCTCGGTCAGCCAGACCCATGCTGGCTATCGGCGGGCCGGTCAGAGCCACTGTCTGCCCTGGCAGGCTTCCTGGCGGAGTCCGGGGCTGGCCGTAGCCCCCGCACACACTGGCCTCAGCTGTCCGCAGCTGTCAGCCCAGCCCTGCCCCGGGTGCCCCCAGGACACAGGCTGCTCCCCACCCTGGAGGGCCGTGCGCAGCAGCCGGGGCACCTGCGTGCGGGAGGGCGGCCAGGACCCACGCCCCTCCTGCAGTGCTTCCCCAAGGCCACACGGGGTGAGGGTGGCAGCTCAGGGCCAGGGGGCGTCTTTGCAGGCGACACAGGCCGCGCAGGACCCTGCAGGTAGGTGCGGCTTCCCCCTCCTCTCCCCTCCCCTCCCCTCCTGATGGCGATGGTGCCTTTTTCTAACCGTGAGTTCCACGCATGCATGAGCAGGGTTCACTTATGGATCGGCAGTTTCCGTTTCTGTTGAGAAATCGGCTGCTCCGGTCACTCTGCCACGTTCCCACGCCGTCCTCGGTCAGCTGGCACTGAGGAGCAGCCGCCACTTGTGGGCGGGCTCCCCGCGGGGCCTTCCGTGGCTACGTCAGCTGGGGGCGGCCCCAGGGTGGGGCGGGGTGGGCCGCCTTGTGGTTTACATGCTCATGGTTCATTGTTTACCGGATGGACACAGGGGCAGGGCCAGGGCCCATCTCGTCTGCTGCGGCCCAGAGCCAGCCCCGGGTGGGGCGTCCAGGGTCACGGCTGAACAGCAGGAGGAGGAAGGCGGTCCACAGAGCCTGGAGCACAGGCCAGCGCTTGCCCCGTCACCACCGCCCTCTGCTGCCCTGGAGTTGGGCAGTCCAGGGCTGGGCGGGCCTGAGCTGAGACCTGTGGGACCTGGCAGCCTTCTGTGCGTGCTGAGGAGCCCCCTCTCTCAGAGCCCGTTTCCTGCTTTGAGGAGGGGGCCTGACACCCACCGGCTGCGGTGCCGGAGTCTCCAGAGGGGATAAGTGTGGCGCCCAGTGTCTCCAGCAGGTGGCGCCAGGGGCAGGTGGGGCCAGGGGCTGAGGTTACCTGGGCTGGCTGCTGGGGCCTGGTGCTGGGGCAGGGGTGGCCAGGGCAGGCCCCGGGCCGTCTGGACAACAGCACTGGCCATGGCTGCGTGGGACTCCGTGTGGATGGTGTCGCTTTTTTTTTTTTTTTTTTTGGACAGGCAGAGTGGACAGTGAGAGAGAGAGAGACAGAGAGAAAGGTCTTACTTTTGCCGTTGGCTCACCCTCCAATGGCCGCCGTGGTCGGCGCGCTGCGGTCGGCGCACCACGCCGATCCGATGGCAGGAGCCAGGTACTTATCCTGGTCTCCCATGGGGTGCAGGGCCCAAGCACTTGGGCCATCCTCCACTGCCTTCCCGGGCCACAGCAGAGAGCTGGCCTGGAAGAGGGGCAACCAGGATAGAATCTGGTGCCCCGACTGGGACTAGAACCCGGTGTGCCGGCGCCACAGGCGGAGGATTAGCTTATTGAGCCGCAGCACCGGCCCGTGTCGCTTTTTATGTGTTTCATTTTTGTTTTTTTCTTGCCTCTTTCCCCTTCCGGTTTCTTTTCTTTTTAGTTGTTTTTTCTGTGCTCTGTGAGGAGGGCATGAAGTGCAGGGCACAGCGGCTGCCCTGCCATCTCCTCTTCCCGCTGGGAAGCACCGGCCACGAGGACGCTGTGGCCACCAGGTGGCGCTGTGGGTCAGGCTGTGCTGGCCAGGCTGCTGAGGGCAGGAGCCTGGAGCTGGCCCCTGGCTGAGAACCACCGGCCACGAGGACGCTGTGGCCACCAGGTGGCGCTGTGGGCCAGGCTGTGCTGGCCAGGCTGCTGAGGGCAGGAGCCTGGAGCTGGCCCCTGGCTGAGAACCACAGGCCACGAGGACGCTGTGGCCACCAGGTGGCGCTGTGGGTCAGGCTGTGCTGGCCAGGCTGCTGAGGGCAGGAGCCTGGAGCTGGCCCCTGGCTGAGAACCACAGGCCACGAGGACGCTGTGGCCACCAGGTGGCGCTGTGGGTCAGGCTGCTGAGGGCAGGAGCCCAGTGGGCCCGGGGATCTCCCTGGAGGGCCGGGGCAGTGTGGGGACGGGGGTGGCCACCAGGGACACACGGGACTCAAGTCCAAGTCCCCTAAAGTGCCAGCGACCCTGAGTGGGTCTCTGCCCCTTTGTGCTCCTGGGGTCACTCAGGGACTACACGCTGCAAAGACAAATGTATTTTGGTGCAAAAGAACCGGAATCTGTGCATAGTATTTTTTTTAACAATATCCATTTTCCATAAACTCTGAAGACCTCAACGCATGTGTGAATCTTTTCTTGTCAAAATAAACTCAGCTTTTGATTCCATTTTCCATGGACTTCAGAAATATTTTATTTATCTGAGAAAAAGAGCATGCGTTCCCTCCTCGAATGCCCACAATGGCCGGGGGTGGGGGGACCGAGGCCGGGAGCCCGTGGGTGGCAGGGACCCACGTGCGGGAGCCGGCACCGACGCCTCCCGGGTGCACACGCACAGAGCCAGAGCCGGGACTCCAGCCCAGCTGCTGGGCAGCCTGGCCCCAGTGACGTCTCGGTCACTCACGGGTCACAGCTGTCGGCTCCATCAGGGGAGGACGAGGGCCCCAAGGGGCCGAGTGGCCCTCCCCCAGGTGGGTGGGGAGCACCGGGGGCCTTGGTCCTTGAACCTGGCAGGAAGGGGTGGGGAGGGCGGGAGAGGTCACCTTACCAAGGAAGGGTCCACGAATGTCCGTGGGGAAGCAGAAGGGCTTTGTTGCCCCGGGGCCTTTGCACTCGAGGTTCCAGGACACTTCCTCCCAGAAGGCCGCCTGCTTTCTCCCTCGTTTTTCTCCGCTGTCCCCAGATGCCCCATTTGACCCATGACCTCTCCCTGCCCCTTTCCGTTTCTCCGCATGGCATTGCCTTGGCCTTGCCGTGCAGGCGCTGCCATGCTGAGCTGTTCAGGGTTCCTGCTCTACAGGTGGAGCTGCCCAGGGCGGGGGTTCCTGTCTGTCTCGGGGAGCAGTGACCCCCCAGGAGGTGGGAATCTAGTAGTGCAGCCAGAGGGATGCTGGGAGAATCCAAGTCAGCCCTGTCCCCTCCCCACTGAACAACACCCTCCCCATGCGACCCCGCATACCCGTCCCTCCCTGCAGACACTCGGTTCCAGCTGTGCTGGCCTCCTGGGTGGTTCTAGAACTCACCAGGAAGTCCCGCCTCCGGGCCTTGGCATGAGCTGCTCTGGGCGTGGGGAACCCTCTTCCCCAGGGACCCCCGCTCCCTCCCTGGCCTTCAGGTCTCTGGGTTCTGGAGGGGACAGAGGGGCCGGAGGTGGGGCTGAAGTCCCACCTGGGGTCAGAGGTCACCGAGCACCTGGTTGTCCCAGCTCCTCTGCCCCAGCCCCCAGGGCTGCTGGCCGCTCAGGAACAGGAGAGCCGCCCCAGGCCGGGGCGGTCACGGAGGGCGGCCCAGGGTGCTGCCCTCCGGGGGCTCCTGGTTTATTAAAAAGGAAGAACTGCCTGGCAGGGGGAGAGCCCTGGGCTGGCCGGAGCATAGAGGGCAGCGCCGCGTGGCACCACTGGGGAAACCAGCACCCGCTGACTTCAAACACGCGTGGCCCCCAGGGCTGCGGGCGTGAGGGCCGCGGGGGGCCGCGAGAGGACCGGGGTCGCCTGGGGCTTTGCGGCCGGACCTCGGAGGCCCCTGCCCAGGGCTGGGAGCCCGGCCTGTTGGGAACGGGCACGCGAGGCGGGAGGGGCGGGAGGAAGGGCGAGCTCACCGCTCAGAGGTGTGGATCTGCATTTTCCACCTGGGAGCCCCAGGGACTCGCTGTGAGGACGCCGCTCCCCGAACAGCCGTGATTGCATCGGGAGCTAATCAGGCGGAGTCGGGGGTTTGCTCCAAACATCCACGCAGACAAAGACGGGGCAGGCGGGCGCTGGCGGCTGAGTGCGTGGGTGCGGGGCTCCGCCGAGAGCACAGGGCCTCTGCCCACGGCCTCCCCGCACCTGCAGCCGGGGGCCTGCAGCCTGAGGCCTGCGCGGCTTCTGACACCGGCACCCGTGGGTGGGCAGCACCTGCTCCCCCCCAGCCCTCAGCGTGGCCACCAGGGCCCCATGGGACTTCAGCAGAACCCGAGATGAGGAGGCGGGCGGGCCTGGTCCAAATTCCGGCTGTGCCGCCTCCGGCTGGGTGTCTTAAAGACATGCTGGACTCTGCTGGGCCTCGGCTTTCTCATCTGTGAACTGGGGTAACTGCAGCACCTCCCTTCCAGGGTTCCTGCTGGTGGCCTGGCTTGTGAGTGTGTGTGTGTGTGTGTGCACACGCGTGAGCCTGGGTGTTGTGTGTGTCTACAGTGAGAGATCTTCCAAAAGTCCATGGGAAACGGAACTAAAAGATATGTTAATTTGGGAGCAAAAATATTTGCCACCCATGGGTAGCTTTGTCCTTGTAGGCATTGTCCCTGAATTTTGAAGGCCTCACGGTCGTGTGTAAGCATGTGTGTATATGCACATGCTTGCGTGTGTGCATGGGTGTCTGTGTGTGCATGGGTGTGCCCACGTGGGTGCGTGGTGTGCCTGGGTGTGCCCGTGTGTGTGTACGTATGTATGTATGTGCGCATGGCTCCCTCGAGCAGCTGGACAGTGGCTCCTTCAGGAAGGCCGGCTTGGGGAGGCCAGGGCCGTCGCCACAGGGCAGAGCAGTGCCCGGCTCGGCAACTCCGCTCAGAGCGCCCTGGCCCCCCTCTTCAGGGGTGCGTGTTTGAACAGGAGCGTCTGGAGCCCCCCGCAGTGAGAACGGGAAATGACGTGAGGCGGGTGGCGTGGACCCTCCCGGAGCGTCGGGTCACACACAGGCTGTGGCCAGGGCGTGGGGGCCAGGCAGGCTGGGCCCAGTCCCTGCTCAGCTCTCTGCCCTGGCTCCGGCCCTGGCCCTGGGCGAGCCACTTCCCTGCTCCATGGCTTCTGTGTCCATCTGTATGCAGGGCTCATCACCCACGCCTCCCCGGGCGTGAGGGTCGGTGTGAAGACAGTGCCAGTGCCAAGGCCAGGGGGCAGTGCCCTGCCTGTCACAGAGGGGACCTGGGCACGTGTCCGGGTTGAAAGAACCATGGTGGCTCCAGAACCCAGGAGTCCTGCCGACCCGGCGGCCCAGGTCTGCCGGCCCAGAGGCTGTACTCGGTGGTGTGTGTGTGTGGGGGGACTTTCCAGCTCCAGGTGGGATCGCCCCAGGGTGCCGCGGTGCCCGAGGCGGAAGGAGCAAGAGAACACTTGTTTCTGCCCAGCACCTCCTCTGCCCCCTCCCCCCCAGGCTTCCCCGGAAGCCCCCGGCACATTCCTCGCCTGGGAGGGCGCGGCTGACTGTGATTGGCCAGTGGTTTTCCAGCGCGTTCCCTGGGGCGGGGCCAGGTTTGGCTCATCTGGATGACGGAAGACGTGGCTGGCATTTTGCAGGGTGGGGCCAGGACAGTCCACGAGAGACACCTGCCCTGTGTCCCCTGGGCATCCACGTGGCCTAGAACCTCTGTCAGCCACGTAGCTCTGCAAGCTTAAAAAGTTATTTATTTGGCTCATACACACACACACACACACACACACACAGAGGCAGACAGCTCCGTCCGCTGTTTCCCTCCCCAAACGGGAAATACGATGCATTTTATTGCAGGATGAAGGGTTCTCAGGTGTGTGATGCCACCGGGAAGCCCTTGGGACCTGCTGAGCAGTGGCCTCGTCACTGGGCACCACTTGTCCTCACAGAGGGCGGGGGTTCGCAGGCTGGGGCAGGCACTGTGGCGTCCTGGTACCTGGACCCTGGCAGGTTGGGTCGGGCTCCAAGGCTGGGTCTGACTCTTCGACATCGGTCACACCACCCACGCACAGCCCACGTGCCTCGGAGTCCCAGCGGGAGTCTGCAGGCAGAGGCCAGGGCCCCCAGCTCCGAGTTGAACCGTTTAGGACGGCAGAGAATTTGCGGTGCGAATGGGAGATGCGTTACCCCCGGAACAGCCCGGAGAGGAGGGCGGGGCCAAGCAGAGCCCCGCTGAGGGGCTGGTGTAGGAGGCTCTGGGCAGTTCGGGCTCTGCTGAACGAGGTGTAACGTGGCGGGAGTTACATCTGCCTGTGCTGTATAATTCATTCAAAACCCAAGTGGGGCCGGCGTGGTGGTGTAGCTGGTGAAGCCGCCACCTGCAGCATCCGAATCCCATATGGGCCGGGTTCAAGTCCCGGCTGATCCAGCTCTCTGCTATGGGCTGGGAAAGCAGTAGAGGATGGCCCAAGTGCCTGGATCCCTGTACCATGTGGGAGACCTGGAAGAAGCTCCTGGCTCCTGGCTTCGGATCAGCCCAGCTCTGGCCGTTGTGGCCATTTAGGGAGTGAACCAGCGGAGTGGAAGACCTCTCTCTCTCTGCAACCCTGCCTTTCAAAGAAATAAAATAAACCTTAAAATAGAATAAAGTAGTGTTTCAAATGCTTACACCTTCCCTTACAGTGTTTATTCGGTCATCCAGAAAATATTTTGTGCACCCTAAGTGTCTGTCCTCAATAAGGGGCAGGGGGAATCAGAGGGGGAGAGGGAGGAGCCCAGTGGAGGCAGGCTCCACCCCTCCCCACAAGGGTACCCCGGTCTCCTTGCCAGGAGCCGCCCCCACCCTTGTTAGCAGAGGCGCCGGGCACAGAGCATCCTGGGAGGAAGCGGCGTCCCCACCCAAGCAACTGGGGGCGGCTGCGGGCGTCCACGGGCAGCAGCAGGGGCGGGCGTGAGGGGCAGAGGTGAGAACATCAGAGCAAGGAGGCCAGGGGCCGACTCTGGGCCCCGGCCAGGCTCGGAGGTGGAGAGGGGCGCATTTCCCGGGGGTCTGCCCTTCAAGAAGCCGCAAGGAGCCCTGCTCACGGTCGGTGGCCGCAGGGGTCTCAGGGCTGCCCTCGCTGAGACTGGCAGCACAGGGGTGCCTTGCTGGCTGTGGATCCTGTAAGACTCAGTTTCCACAGCTGTAAAGTGGTGAGGAAAATAGCGAAGTAGCAATGAGGATAGCTCAGCCGTTCCTGAAGACACCCGGCTACACACAGACCCAGCGCCCACCCCGCCCGCGGCTGCCGGCTGCCGGCTGCCAGACCTGCGCTGTTTATGGCTCTAACTGGCTCTGCCCCATGGTCGGTGTGAGAGGCGCACCCTCACCTGTGCTGTCCATCACAGAGCGCATGCAGCCTGGCCGAGTTCTCCAGCCCATGCCACTGCCCCTCCCCTTGTCGCTGTCTCGTCATCATGTCCTCTCCAAGTGCCCGGAAGGCAGGGCCTGGGGACATCCGGTCTCAGTCCTTCTAGCAACAGAGGGCCCGCTCAGAACTGCA